CCCCTGTCCCCGTGCAGGGCGGGCTCTGAGCACGTCCTGCAGCAGCGGAGCCGGTTCCTGCCGCGGGCACTCCCTATCCGGGGAATTCCCGTTGTCGTCCCCTTGTGAGGCCCTTCCCACCTCCTCGGGGTAACCGTGGGGGGACCACGAGCTTCTGGAGAGGCGGCTTTCCAAACTCTCAGCCCCCCTCTGCACCGCCCGAAGCCACCGGAGATGGTGGTGGGCTCTTTCAAGCCTGGAATTCTCTGGTTTCCCGCTCGCCCAACTCGCTCCAAAAAAAAAGACGTGGCGAGTGGGGCACAGCCCAGGCCGGAGTGGGAGGGGGGGTCTGTCACCAGCCCTGTGTCCCCTCTCCAGCCCTGGCCTGGGGTGTTCCAGGGGTGTCTCGTATCCCATTCCCAGGCCCACCCGGTGGCACATCAGTCCCTCCCTGCCTTGGCACCCGGAGGGTGGGGGGTGTGGCACTTCCAAAGCCCCGGCACTGCCGCCTCGATTCCCGCCTGAAACACGCTCATTGTGGGGGGCGTTGGCAGGGGCTGTAAATCCCTGGATAACCCCCCTGTGCTCTGCAAACCTCCCCGTCTCTCCGGGAAGCGCCTCATCTCCCGGTGTCCCCCAGCCCAGCGCTCCAAAAGGCCCCTGAACCTCCACAAGGGATCTCCTGCTGTGGGTGTGGGTGGGTGGGGTCTTCGCCCGTGTCCGGGATGGAAAGCTGTTCCCAGGCGGCACGTGGGCGCTCCAAGCGCCTGGAAGCTCCTGCATTCCCGATCTTCGGGCCCCATCTTGTGGCAAAGAACGTGGCGCGGCAGTTCCGGACTACGGGACCCTCCCCAGGGATGCGAGACGGTCCCCAGGGATTGCGGGACGGTCCCCAGGGATTGCGGGACGGTCCCCAGGGATTGCGGGACCGTCCCAGGAATTGAGGGACCGTCCCCAGGGATTGCAGGACGGTCCCCAGGGATTGCGGGACGGTTCCCAGGGATTGAGGGACCGTCCCAGGGATTGAGGGACCGTCCCCAGGGATTGCGGGATGGTCGCCAGGGATGCGGGGGTTTCATCGCCCTCCCTTGGAAAGGGTGTCACCTGAACTCTGGACCTCCCTGTCCGTGAAACGGGAGAGAGGGGTGGGTTGGGAAGTTTTATCCTCTGAACTCTGCCCTTTGTCTTGGAGGAGGAATTTTGGGCAGGTTTATTCCCTTAACTCCACCCTTTGCCATGTCTTGGAGGGTGGAATCAGGACAGGTTTATCCCCTTGACTCTGTCCTTTGCTGTCCGTAGAGGGGGAGATTTGGGCAGTTTTATCCCCTTAACTCCACCTTTTGCCACGTCCTGGAGGGTAGAACCAGGAAAGGTTTATCCCCTTAAAAGACTGCCTTCTACTGTCCATGAAAGGGGGGAAATTTGGGCAGGTTTATCCCCTCAACTCCATCCTTTGCCATGTCCTGGAGGGTGGAACCAGGACAGGTTTATCCCCTTAACTCTGCCCTTTGCTGTCCCTCCGAGTGGGAATTTTGGGCAGGTTCCCCCCCCCCCCCCGGACTCTGCCCTCCCCCACCCCTTGAGGGGAGCGATTTGGGGCAGGCCAAACAGGCAGGATTCGAGGGAGCTGCTTGATTGCCACTTCTTTGCCTTCCAAAACCCCGCAGAGCTCCCTAGGCAACACCCATCCCTTTTAACCCTTCCTTGCGTCCAGAAGAGAGTGGAAAAAACCCACCTGGATCCACCCAGGCAGCACCCCCAGAGCTGGAGATTTCGAATGGGGCAGGAAAACCCTTCCCCAGACACACAACCCTCCACCTGGAGGGGGCAATTTAGGACCTGAAT